GTTACTGTTCCAACCGACTTAGATTCAACGAGAGGGCTCCGGATTTCAATCCCTACTTTCGTGTCGCCAGCAGACATTACTGCTGCGCAGTCAAAATCTCTCGCACAATCGTTCGCGCATGTTAGGAAAAAAATGGGTCCCACTACTTAATATTGGGGAACAGGCTGTCTACAACAGCAAGATCTGATATCTCTTAACCGATGCACACAATCCGGTGACAACCCATAGGGAAGTTTCCGATCCACTGATGTGCAGTCACTACTGAGATCTCTAATAATCATGCGTCCATTTCTTGACGGAGTCCACTGGGAAATCGTCGGAACAAATATGCGCGCATTTTTTGCGAAACATCAAGGACATTATCTGCAAAACTTTAACAGAATTTAAGACAAGACAAGGAATGACGAACGGCTTAACGGACACCAAATTTGTCTTTCCGTCCGGCTACACGTAGCATGCATGCATGCAGAGAGAGGAAAGTGGTGTTCCACAGGGTTCTGTCTTAGGCCCAGTACTCTTCCTGATTTATGTTAATGACTGCATCAGCGAAGTGAATTGCGAGGCTCTCATGTTCGCGGATGACATAAAAATATGGAGTGAAATCAAGTGTCATGATGACGCAGAGAAGTTGCAGTCGAACATCAACAAACTGTGTGCTTGGTCGAACAGATGGCTTTTGAAGTTTCACGTGTCCAAGTGCGTGGTTTTGCACCTGAACACCGGCCGCAATGCCTCTCCCAAACAGCAGTACTATTTTGACGGGACGAGGTTAAAAACGGTGGAAAGACACAGAAATTGGGGTGTATGGACGACCACAAATCTATCGCCATCAGAACACTGTAGAAAGATGGTCCAGAAGGCAACTAGTACTCTACACTGGATCAGACGTGCATTTAAAATATTTCCTCCCGAACTTTTCGAAAGACTCTTTGGTGTCTTTGTAAGACCTCATCTAGAGTATGGAATGCCAGCAGCTTAACCATGGATGAGGAAGGATATCGACTTACTCGAACAGGTGCAACGCAGAGCGACAAAGATGGTCGACGGTCTAAAGCATTTGTCTTATCAGTAAAGGCTGAATTTGCTTGGCCTATTCCCTCTCTCTTATAGACAAATAAACTGCAGTCTACTCTGGACGTTCCGGATTGTTCGTGGCCAGGGCTGCTCATTAAGAGCAGAGGACTTCTTTGAGTTCGCCCGTACAAACCAACTACGCGGCCATGCATACAAAGTCGGGAATGAGCGCACGCGTTTAGACCGACGAAAATTTTCATTCAGCCAGCGGGTTGTCAGGCCGTGGAACTCGCTTCCAAGCGAGGTTGTGACGGCTGACACAGTTTGTGTGTTTAAAAGAAAACTTGCTCGTCTAGTTTTTGACAGAAATCGGCTTGTACAGCATGACTATGCACAGCCAGTTTTGTAAAATCTGTCATATACAATCTTCCGCACTAATTTACAGTGACCCTATGCACTACCTTATGATTACGATTGAACTGTGGCCCAATCACATTTTAAATGTCTGCAATTATATTTTATTTTTGGTTATGAATCTGCGAAAGCACTGTACAGAAATAGGGTCATCAAGGGCCCTGCCTGTAACCCTTCAATATATACATATACACATAAAATGTGAACATTACAATAATACATCCTACTTGGCGTTTCAAACATGGCAAGCAGAAATTCTACCAGTTTTATTGGCTTTTGCGGCCAAGATTTAGCCTTGAAATTAATTCACATTTTTATGAAATTTTTCACCAGTCGATTACTTATAGTTTTTTATAGGTCGATGCCATTGCATTGATTAGGCGAATGGGTAGCTGATTACTTGGCATCCGAATCGTGAGGAACAAGTACACATTCTAATGTCCTATTCACAATTTATGCTCTTCAGTTTACTTACTCGGTGGCGCTATATCCTGTTTTATTAACCTTATCTAGTTGATAGATCCCCGAGTTTATTTAAACCAATTCACAACACCGCCAAAAGTAATTAACTATGTAGTTCCATCCAGAAAGGCACCGAATTATTGGAGGATCGATGCTTTGAAAGCCAGAATAAAAACATTGTAGGCCTTGATTCATACGCTTGATCCATATGACTGAGTCTTCAACATTTAACGATTGTTCGAAGCCTAATAAAAATAATGTAAAAAGATACGCATATATTGTGTTGAATAATCTACAACGGTCTCTGACTGTAGTCCGTATAACTTTACCAAATGCCTTGAACTAATCTCCGAATAACATATGAGCACTTTGGGAACTTCGGAGAACGTGATTTCCGGATACCCCGAGCGCGCTTCGAACATCCAGGCGCCTTTACCAGGCGCACTAAATGCGGATAAAATCCAATAGAGCGCGCAAGTCTGAAACGAAAGGCAAACGAACAAACACAGTGTTTGTAGTTAAGACAAACAAATAGCAAAGCATAACATGCTAAAATAGCAAAGGAATATGATAATCACAGTGAAAACGTGATAGACAATGGCGTTCTTTTCATGGCATTTCAATCGCCTATCGTTAATATCGACCGTTCGCCGTACATTCCACCAGTTAAACAGGTCAAATGCCGGACATATCCTTGCTGCCATATCTGATCGACTGACGTTTCCGGACGATCCATCAGAATCAAGAGCTATGGGAAATCTAAAGTTCGGACGAGCTACCTTGGATTTTCGAAACGCGTGTTTATATTATAATTTGACTTCTGATAATCTCTCACCCTGAAAATCAGTTCTTCGTGGCTGCTATAGCTGTCGTTTTCGCATCAGCGTCCCGAAAAGTTTACGCAGCTACAGTGCTTCTTTTAGCATTAGAGCGTACCTGTTAGTGGATAATAACCAAAATAACTCCTCTTGAAAGCTCTAGATATTTAGACGCCCTCGACGGGGAAGAATTCACGGATGTCGTCCAGTTTCAAAAACGTTGTCATAACTCTGTCAATTTTTCCTTAAGCTACATCAAGAAACATGCATTGACATAGTTATCGGTTTCCTAAGAGAACACTTACCTTTGATATTTCTTGCTTGACCGAGTTTCCAAACTGCATACTGCAGGTCACTCAGTGTCTGCAAGCCTCATCCAAACATAATTTCGTAAAATTTAAACTCAAGGACATTGCTACTCGCACGAAACTGTTTGACCAATTGCCTGATAGCCAGCGGAAACAGTCCGCAAATTGCTTCTATTAATCACTCGCCCTGCCTGGTTTCATCTTTTCAATATTCGACCCATTCTTTGGTTTTGAGGCGTATTTTTTCTTGCGTCCAAGCCCGTTTGTACCATATGTCTATCATGGAACTGCTTGATCCGTTAACGGTCATCGAAACTCCTTCGTTGGTGTGCGTGCTTAATAAATATGTAAGATAACGAGAAGTCCATTGCATAAGTGGTTAACATTCTCCGGTTTACGAATGGAAGAGAATATGCGCATCCGAGGTCCTCCGGTTCGACTGTTTCAGGCGACGCGCGCCACTTAATGCTAAAGTTGGCTCCAAGAGAAATCAGTTTCTGTCACCGATGCACAGCATCGGTGAGCAGGCGTTTAAATGAAGTAGTTTAGTACAGTATCTAATGGCACTCTAATTTCCAAACTTTCTCGCACTTTTACATTAAACAACTGCCAGTTGAGTGCTTTTCTTGTAAAACAAATAAAAAGCTATTTAACTGGGGTGTATGCGAAAAGGGAGTGCGTGTTCACGCACTACTGCATGAAGAGACTAGTGCCGGAAAAATATCTCTTCGGTAATCTTGACGTTTAATTCTAGGAACACAATTTTGTTGGAAGTTTACGTAAGATTATGGGCTCTAGAAGACAATGCAGACGATGGGCTGCTGACATGGGATGTGACTGACCAACATATGATCACCAGGTTCTTGTCAGCAGCTATTTTAGGAAAGATCATAGTGACATTTTTGATGTAAAAGGGGCCATGTAAATTTGACTTGGCCTTTGCGTAAGTAACGTGGAGTTTGGGCTTACTGAGATATTGCTACCGTTGACCCAGGGCGGAAAAGATTTGGAAACAACTCACCAGAGAGACGACGGAGTGTCAAATATTGCCCACCTTGATTCACTCCTCAGGCCAATGCACAGGAGGTAAGAATTCTGTAAATCTGCTTACCAACGCTCGGTTTGACGAGGGGGTCAACCACTAGAGAACCTGTGATCCGTCACTAACACAAAGGGCCTACCTGCGAGGGTACGGTGGGGTTTCTTGACGAAGGTAGTCACCACTAGGATTCATTTTAGAAGTTGTTGAGTAATTACATTCAGTCAACATCCGACTGACAGAAGCTAGTAGATACTGCAGCCTGCCAGCCATTAGTTGAAAAAAGGCTGCCTCAATGAGGCATTCACGTTTAAGAAAAGCTAGGAAAAGGCTACAGAAAGGTTCGCAAACCCATTGATTTGAGAGGCTCGTTCGAACTCATCAACGAAGACTGTTTGATTATGGTGCAGTCGATGGGCGGTCAGTCTAAAAACCAATCTGAAAGATACAAGGATTCCGTCAAGAGTCCCCCTGTGTGGAGGCGAGATCTGGTACGAGCTGTCAGAGCATATCGGACGCCTTGAAGTCTTCGATCATCGTTGCTCACTCCCCATTCTTTGATTCCTTCGAGTGGAACGGCTGTATAGTTAGTCAAAGCCTGGATTGATCGATTGCGCACTTGTTAGTCGTCAAGTGAGATTACTTGGCGGTTTGAAGGTGAAATCGTCCGAGATGTCATGCCATCGGAACCTGGACTTGTCTGGCGAGGATGACTAGCTTGTCAACTGATGACGTAGGTTAGCTCCATAACAGCTGATTTTGAACTCATCTCTGGCCTATTGGTAGGCGAAACCGGCGTGTTAGATTGGCCGGACTTGACCTCCTCGTTGACGAGAACCCCTGGCAGCATCTCCATAGAAGAGTCGTTTGGGTAACCGCTCATCGTCCATCTGCACGAGGTGGCCGCTGCAGCGCAGTTGCAATTGCCTCAGCATGGCGTGATCGCTAAGGATTCCTGCCACTTCCAGCACGTCCGTGTCCGGGATCCGGTTCTGCCATCTCATCTGTAGTACCCACCGAGGGCAGCTGGAGTTGAACTGGTTGAGCCTCCACACCGTTCTGGTCTCCATTCCGTACAACACTGTTGCCGGGATGACCGCTTTGTACACCTTGAGTTTGGTGCTGAGGTGGAGACCACATCATCGTCAGTTTTGATGCTGCGAGAGAGGGTGCTACCCAGATAGGTGGTATCCATGGTTCGCATTTGACGCCGTTCATGTTGATGTAGGGTGCATTGTAAGCATCGTTGAATGGCGGTTGGTGCATAATCACCTTGAGGTCTCCTGCGTGGCTGTGGGCGAAGGCCCATCTTAGAGATGACGAGATGATAGTCGGTCCACCCGTCGGCACCCGCGATCGCCCCTGTCACCAGCACATCCCGCTGGTCTCTCCTTCGGATGAGGACATGGTCCAGCAGGTGCCGGTGTCGTGACCAAGGGTGCATCCAGGTCACCTCCCGCGTCAAAAGGCGTAAGAAGGTTTGGTGAAGATGAGGCGGTGGTCTGTGCAGGTTTGCAGGAGGAGCAAGCCATTGTCCTTGAAGCCGCTGAGGCCATGGGGACCCAACACTCCTCTCCAGGCAGCGTGGTGTGTGCCGACACGGGCGTTGAAGTCACTAAGGACAATAAACTTATCCGCCTTCCGCTCAGACGCCGGGAGGGCGTGCAAGTCCTCGTAGATTTTATCTCTTGCCATGTCAGACCTGGTCATTGGGGGGGGGGAGAGGGAAGAAGGCATAGACGCTTATGATGGTGGCGAATTTGCCTCCCCGGAGAGGCAGGCGGAGGCTCATCAGCCGATCGTTGATGTCCTGCGGCAGACAGGACAGTCGTCCCACGGTGTCGTTCCGGATGGCAAAGGCGACGCCCGCGCCCCGTCGCTCTGCCTTGAGACGACCGCTCCAGAAGCTGTAGCCGGCACCTGTCTCCAGTTGACCTTGTTCGGCGAAACGGGTCCTGCTGAATGTGGCGATGCGCACCTTGTATCGCGCCAGTTTCCGAGCCACTAGTGCCGTTATTCGTTCCAACCGGTCGCTCCTGAGATTATCTAGAAGGGAACGGACATTCCATGTCATTAGAGTGAACGGACCCACGCTACCAGCCTGTGAGTCGGGGGAAGGAGGAGGAGGAGGAGGACAGAGCGTTGTTTCTGTTCTATTGGTTTCGACCGCAGGTATTGTAGTCTGCGCGCAGATGTCGTGAACCCAGCATTTGTTTAGGGCCCCTTTTCTAGCCCCCTCCCACTCGCGGGGTCGAGCAGTGCCCTCCCTAAATAGGGCTGCTTATTCGCACCGGACGGATACCGCTCTCCACAATGGGTCACTGGGTTTAGCGATAGAACGACCATTGGCTTGGACTGCCTACGTGCTTGCATGTCGCCCTCGCCGGAGGACGTGCTGACTGTGGTGGAGTAGAGTAGAGTAGAGTGGAGAGTATTGAGAGGGGAGGAAAGAGTGGAACAAATGACGAAGGAGGCAGGGGGTGGAAAAGGGGAGGAGGAGGGGGGGGGATACACACACGGATACCCTCACCTGTTTCAGCCCGCCGACCGAGGCGGTTACGAGGATGTGGCTGCTAGGTCAAAGCCCAACTTCGAGGAGCCACAAGTGAGAGTTGGGTGCCAGTTAATAGATGCTAGGCGTAGTTAACAGCTGCAAGTGAGGGACCTACTACGGTCTCCAGGTAAACCCACGACAGGACACCTCAATACCCTGCATTGTCTGATAACCTTTTCACGATTAACCTATTGGCCATATCGGTTTCCGGTCAGGCCGCAAAGTATCACTACTGTAAGGTGCGCGGCTGCCTTTTGTTTCGACTCAAGAGTCTTCTCATTTTTCAGTTACCCTTCAATGAAGACTTCCATTATCCGTCACCCATGAACTTATTGGATTTGTCCCAGCTGGGATAACAGACAGGTCCCATCAAGGCCGTCACAAATAATTAATTGTGTCTGTTGTTGAGGGGATGATAGAAGTAGACTCGCCATAGGAAATATGGACAGAATCGCAGGCCTTTGAATGGCAGGCCGAGTTACTGAGATAGAACGAACTTGACAGTGAGCGCCACCTCGCGACAGCATGTTGGGAGGGTCTCAGACCCGCTGCATCTGGCTCCCAGTTCGCAGTTCTTTGCGAACCGCAGGACAAGGCGGTTCGCAATCGTGTGCGGCGGTAATTTCTCAAGGGTAGGTCAACAAAAACGGAGCCGAATTAACTTCTGTAATAGTATGCTCGTCAAAATGTTTGCGTCTACTCCTGACGTTATTTTTTGCTACATTTGCTGTTATCCCTTTCCGTGCCTTCTTAATCCTGTTGGTTTTCCTTATATTCCGTATAGTCGGTCGACTTTATCCTTCTATTGTTTCCAAGTATCGGATGCTGAAATCTTCATCCTCTGATTTCTAATCACAAATTTGTAGGTCGTCCCAGTTCATGGTTGACTCGCCACTATGGGCCGATTTTGCAGGCGAAATAAGCTTAAATCTATACCATCTTGGATCCGCGGGC